GATTTCCTGCTCATCCCAAATTAAGATCTTTGGTTCAGTCAACAGAATACAGAGCTTAAAGTGGGAAAAAAACAAGTTCCTTCCTCTCTAGCACTGACCTAGGGAAAGTCACTTAAGCTTTCAGAATCCTAATTTCCACTTCTATAATATAGCCTTTATATCTTGGGACTACTATTGTTCAAAAATATAAAAAAGGAATAAAATCACAATGAGTTCAGTGGACCCACCAGCAAAGCCTGTAATCAGGCTTGGCAAACTGTTAAATGCTATACAAACAGAAGGTGATACCTGCCTACTTTCTCCTGGTCTAAGGCCCTCCATTTCCCTCTGGAATCAGGAAGTGCCATAGATAAGTGAAAATGAAAAGGCACAGAAAAAAACAACAAATAAGTAACTAACCAAAAGCATTCTAAAACCTCAGAGAAGATTCTTTTCTAGTTTGTGGTATAGTTTCAAGATCTGCTATCCAGTGAGTACCACAAAGGATGACCTGGAAGTTGAAATGCTTGGCTTGGGAGCATATTGAGTGCGTCTGTGCCCAGCAGGCAGATTGAAGAGGGATTTCTTTTTTTTTTTTAATTTTTTATTGTATTTTAGGTTTTGGGGTACATGTGCAGAATGTACAAGACAGTTGCATAGGTACACACATGGCAGTGTGTTTTGTTTCCTTTCTCCCCTTCACCCACATTTGTCATTTTTCCCCAGGCTATCCCTCCCCAGATCCCCCTACTCTGGCCCTCCCCTTTTCCCCCCAATAGACCCCAGTGTTTAGTACTCCTCTCCCTGTGTCCATGTGTTCTCATTTTTCATCACCCTCCTATGAGTGAGAACATGCGGTATTTCATTTTCTGTTCTTGTGTCAGTTTGCTGAGAATGATGTTCTCCAGATTCATCCATATCCCTACAAACGACATGAACTCATCATTTCTGATTGCTGCATAATATTCCATGGTGTATATGTGCCACATTTTTCCAAATGCACACGAATGTTCATTGCAGCACTGTTTACAATAGCAAAGAGGGATTTCTTAAGACCAAACAGTTCTGCATCAGAGGCACTTTCTTTCAATATTACCCCTCCCCAGTGGCCAATGGTTAGATTGTATAGTTAACATGCAGGCTTTGGATGAAAAATCAACTGAGTGTGTGGGACTGGCTTTCCCTATCTGTTAGAATCAGTCATTCAATCCATCCATTCATCCATCCATCCATCCATCCATCCATCCATCCATCTATTATCTATCTATATTGTACATTTCTCTTTGTTTCAAAATATTTTGTAATGAATTCACTGAGCAATCCTTCTATCATGAGTTTTTCTTCCTTGTAAGAGATAGGCTTAAATTAATTTTATATTGCACATGTAAAACATGAATATAAACTCTTTGTTAAAACTAATAATAAAACGTTAGCTATAGCTAATAATTCTTTCAACTTTCTAGCACTTTGATTTTTTTCTTTTGGGGCATCAGTGGTGCACATCTCAGATCTGAGTAGTCCCTGAAAGGTGTTTCAGGAGGGCTTTGTCATGAAGAAAACAGCTGTCCACAAGCATGCATTTGGAGTGATCAGAAGAGTGTCATACTTGCAGTGGCAAAGGTGACACAGGCGTAAAGTAGAGCTTCCTACTGTCAAACTGTCTTCCTGATGCTTCTGCTTGTCTTTCATGTTTAGGAGCATAAAATTTATTATTTATCTCTGATAAAATTAAAATAGTCTGGACTCTCTATGTATGTGATGTATTTGTTTTGTTTTGTACAGTTTCTTGTATTCCTATATAAAATAGATTCTATATAAATATATATGTATGTAGTCCTTATTTAAATATATTTTTAAGGTTTCTCTTTCCACAGCCAAATGAGAAATATATATGTAAATAAAAAATATATATTTTTGTATATTTTATATATACTAAAATATGTCTATATATTTAAATATATATTTTACAAAATATATATATGTAACATGTATTTATATTTAAACTAAAGGCACATATATGGGTATACATATTTGTTACTTGGCTGTGGAAAGAGCAACTTAAAAAATATATTAAAAAAGAAATACACTTTCATATTTCTAGTTACAGTGCCAATTCTAGAAGTTTCTATGTCTCTATAGCAAAAGTAGATTTTTAATAAATGTATTTTGAACTAAATTTCTGAAGAGCCTGTAAGAAAAATTATATATATATTTTTAAAGTATGGTTTATTTTGCATAGATTCAATTTATAAAATGGAGATATATTCTATACGAAGAGCCTCCAATATTGATTACCTCCATGGAAGCTGATCTTGTAGTAACAGTTTACATTTCTACAAGTTTCCATTCAAAATAGCATATATGAAATATTTTAGGCTATACATTTCAGAAAATCATAATTACCTATATATTAAAACATACAAATGTATGTTTAATTTTACATTTTTGTTATTACACCTTTTTCCTACATTATAAATAGGCTAAATTTTTTTTTGAAATACATATTATTGAACATTGAATTCTTGCTAAATTGTAGTCACCATTTCATATATTTTTACCTGATTTCATTTAATATTCATAGTCAGGCTATCAGCAACATCTCTATTTCTTAGTGGTAGAAAAGAGAAACTATAAGTTCAGAGAAGAGAGAGAGAGCTTGCACAGGTTTACCAGCAAGTAAAGCTGAATCCAATAATCAAACCCAGAGTTTCTGCCTGGCTCACTCACTCTCTAGAACTGTGAATTTACTTGGTTCCTTTTGCCTCTGCTTGAACTCAGATTCAGACTAGTTTCTATTTTTGAGGGTTCAATAGTTGTATGAGAGTTCACACTTTTCTTGTGCTTCTAGTTGCCGTTGTGAACATACATGGGGTCCAAATGAATGAAACTTGGCTACCTGTGTCACGTGCAAGGAAATGTCCAAGACTCAGGATTCCATAACTTGATCAAATACTTGTCTCTGTTTGCTTTGTGTAGCCCAAGATTCCTCTCTGCCTGTGTCTCCTTTAAAAGTCTCATCTGGGGTTTTCCTACTTAATCCATGGCCTAGAAATCCTGGCATAGCTTGTTCCCACAAATCCTGGCACAGAGACGCTGCCACCAGGAACAGGCAAAGTGATTTGATATTCAAAGACCCTTGGAGCAAGGAGGCATATTGCTAGGAGATGAAAAATAGGTTGAAGGTTTAGGCAGGGGCCTTCAAAATGGAGAAACACACACCATAAGACCTACCTTTATTAACTAGTTTCAGGGGGGTGGTATCTATCTTGGGATCCAGCAGAAGGTGGGAAGACTGAGCTTCCTGTTCCGTGTTGAAGCAACCCTACTCTTTATGCCTGGGGCCTAATGGGGTAAAGCCACCAGGTACTTGTTTGGACTCTGTTTCTGGCTCAGAAATTGACACAGAACTTTCTTCCAGTACTCAGGTCTCTTTTGTGGTGTATGAACAGGAAGAGGCTGTGTGAGTTCCCAGGGGGCTTTGATGTCATTTGCTGCTTGAGTTGAGAGCACTGAGTTGGGCTCTTGCTTACCTTAGGATGTGATTCATGTCTAGCCCTCATCCAGACAGGGACAAAGGACTTCATATTGCAAGTGTAACCTTGGGTCTGGATGTTTCTTAAGTTATGAAGAAATATTTATTACTTCAAAGAAGGGAAATAAAAAGAGGGGGAAAAGACACTGTAAAAAGAGAGTGTGACTGGTCTTTCCCTCAAAGAAGCAGAGAGAGAAGGGAGAGCTGTGCTGCTTTGACCACTGAAGATCATAAAATAATCCTAATTAAGCCAGCAGTGCAAATGAACACTATAAAAACACTGCCAAAGCTCAGGAAAAATCAATCTGTGGACAAAAAGAATTCTTGTTAAAATGAAAAACATGTTTTACTCTCTCCCTCCCCGCTTTTAGAGGAAGGCCTTGTCATTAGATGTTGCACCCTGCTTTTACACTTGGAACAATTTTCCTGGAGCTTCATCACCCTTAGAACTTGATTTAAAAAAAGCTAGAGAAATGCACATAGAACTTTATCAAGTCCAGTACCAGATTCTGATCATACAGCACCCATATAACACCAGGGAAGGCTGGGGTTTTTCTCAGTGGAAATTAAGAGAAATATTGAGTCATGGGAAATAAAATAAAAGTAGAATGACTGTATCAAATAAGTCCAATGTGGAAGATGAACACTGGACCCTCAGCAGTAGCAAGAATTGGCTCTTTATCCTCCAACCTCTCTAAGATGCTATTGTTGATGTTTCTATCAAAGAATTTCCAAGGACAACACTTCCATAGTCTATTCTGAAAGTCTGTTTTAGTCTTAATCACCCTAACCATCTAGGGATAGTCCTGATTGATACATGAATTTTCCTGTGTCCCATTTTTGGCTAATTTTCCTGGCCAGGGACTGGGTATACATGCTTGGTGCACCAGGAAGATGCATAAGAATAAACGGTTTGGCAGATTCTAATTTCAGAGGCAACAGACTCTGCAACAGCATCTCTCCCATGTCAGAGTTCACATGCTATGTGAGAGGGTCTGACAAACATTTTGGGGAGAGATAGGAAGATGGGGGAGGATAACTAGACATGGCAGTTCAGACTTGGAACAGTTTAGAGTGAGATGCTGGTTTAATGATTGTCTTCTCCACTGCTTTCATTTTGGCAATAAGGAGATACTGACTGGCTATGCAATGAGTTATTGTCTCTGGCAATGATTTCTTTAAGCGATTGTTTTGAGAAATTTAAAGAAAGACAGGTTCAAATTTAAAAAAAAACAGTTGAGGCATCAGTCTCAGAAAAAGACATAGGATATCCAGCATCTGAAAATTGTCTTCCTTCCATTTGATCTTGACGTGTGATACAACCTTGAATATCTTTCTGTGTCTATTCCATGTTTTTACCATTTGTAAAAAAGAAGGAAGCTCTTACTTTATAAATTGTGAGCTCTCTGAGAAGAATAAATATGGTATGGCACATGTCTTGATAACTTAATGGAAATAATGACTCATACGTAAATGTGCTTATGCCTAGGTATGTTTCAATAGACCAGGAGTGGCCAGAGCAATTTTAATTTTTTTGATGACTGATGGCCTAGTCCCTGGACAGCATGGGCAGCCAACAGTGACTCTCTACCTGACCGATGTTCATGGAAGCAACCACCTTCTTGGTGAGTCTGACAAATATCCCTTTAGGGCCACTAGAGGACAACCTGGTAGACCCAGAAGTCAGCTTGCTGTCTGTCTTTGATGTTTGAGATCTTGTGTACGTCACACACCTAGGTTTTGGCATCATACACCTATTAAGAGGATAAAATGAATATAAGATATGGAAATATGATACTAACAATGGCTTAAAATATGATTCATCTCCGTTTATCTTCAGGAACCTATGGACTGTCATGCCAGCATAACCCACTGATAATCAATGTGCTCCACCACTGGAACGTCGTCTTCCCACATACCACCTCAGTGCTGTTGAATTTCTCATCCCCACGGATTGGCATCTCAGCTGTGGCTCTAAGGACATTCTCCCACTTTGGTCTTTCAGCTCCCAGTAACTGCATCTCAGAGGACGAGGGGCAGAATCATCAGGGACAGAGGTACAAAGTTCCCTTTGTTTCTTTTGTTTGCTTTCCTTGTGGCTGTGATGGATGGCTCACATTTACATAGTGTTATGTATAGAGTGTTTGCTCAATCTCTAACTGAAAAATGAATTTAGGAACTACTAAAAAGACTTAGGAAGCAAGCAAGGAATAATTTGTAGAAGGCATACTTAGGTTTTATATTTTGTTCTTCTTCCCTTAGCTGACCATAATTTTTATGTAAATATTTATCATCTTTACAAGGTCTTAACATCTTTTTTACATATAAAACCACCAACTTCAAATCAACATTGTTATATAAACTGCAAATTCTGCCAAAAACTCAATGTTCCCTAAGCAATGTGTATTTTTCAACTTCTTACCACCTGGACAGTGCATATAGCAAGCCTAACAATTACTTTCTAGGGTGTGTCATATAGTAATTTAGAATTATATGTGGAAATAGGAAATACATTAGCTACATATATCTTTCTGTGGATACCTGTGATTGTCATCCTCTAGACAGGTGTGGCTCTGAGGTTCACTGGCATCTCAGCAGCAGCTAATGGAGGGATTGTACTCACAGTGTTAAAGGAAGAGCCCCCCAAGCACAACAGTCTGGTCTGCATTTGGGCCAGAATCACTCTATGCATAATCTAATCAATTAAGTGGGACTGCAGGTGACAGGGTTTATTCCTCAGCCAGGGAGGGGAGATCACTTACCTGTTACTAGGTGATTGTGATCCTAGTGACAAGCTGGGGTTCCAGGAAGTGCTCCATCACCAAAAAGAAATTCTGGTGCCACAAAGCTCCTTCAAGGCATACCAGATACTCAGACCTTACAGGGATGGGCAGTAGATGCACTAGTAAACTATGTTAGTTAGCTATTGCTGTGTGGCAAATTATACCAAAAGTTAATGGCTGAGCACAGTAAACGTTATCTCATAGTTTCTGTGGGTGAGGAATCTGGATGCAGCTCAGCCAGGTGTCTCTGGTTTAAGATCTCTTATGAGGTTGTAGTAGGCTGTTGGCCAAGGCTGTAGTTACCTCGAGCCTCAAGGAGAGCTGTAGAATTCAATTACAAGCTCACTCCTGTGGCTAAATCAGGCCTCAGAAGATCTGCATTCAAGCTCACTCATAGGTGTTGGCAGTGAGCATGCTCACATAGAAGTGGCTCAATTCCTTGCCAAGCAGGCATCTGCACAGCTCTCTGAGTGTCCCTGTGACATGGCAGCCAATGATCCAAGAGAGAAAGAGAGCCAGAGACAGTGAATACATGACAGACTGCCCAAGAAGGGAGCCGTGGTCTTTTTATAACATAATATTGGGAGTGACAGTCCATTACTTCTGGGATATTCTGTTCATTAGAAATGAGTCAGTAAGTTCAGCCCATACTCAAGAGGAGGGATTGACATAGGGCCATGAATCTCTGGGGGCCAGTAATAGTAGTTTACATTCACTGAGCATTAACTATGTGCCAGATATTGTACTAAGTGCTAGAAAGGGAGAAACAGTAGGGATAATGAATATTGTAAGATTAACTAGTTCATCTGCAACTTTAAAGTCTTTCTTAGTACACAAATGCTTCCAAATATTAACACAAGAATGTGTATTATTAAAATAACATTTATTAGAATTATGGCCTCTCTCTCATATATTTTCAAATTATATTCTCTACTGGCTCTATCTCTGGTCTTAGGCCATACAGCATTTCTTTCAGGTCCCCGAAATGTGTGTTTCTGGTGAGCTTTGCACATAATGTTCCTACTTTATTGAATGCCTTCCAGTTCTTCTTCACTTTGACTCATATCCATCCTATCATCAAGATTCACTTTCTATGAAGTTTTGACAAACTTCCTCCCTGTTCCCATAGGACACACTGCATCCCGCAAACTCTGGGAAAGCAGCTGTCATATTGGGTGGTAACTATTTATTGACTTATTGTTCTTTCTCATTAAACTCTGAGCTTCCTGTAGTGGATAATTCTGCCCAGTATCTCTGAATACCTACAGAGGGCCTAGCACATAGTAGGTTTGAGAAACTATTTCAGATGACAATGCCAACTGTATCTCTAAATGCTCCATGGAACACAACTGAATAAGAAAATCCAAAAAGTAGAACTTACAGCCTTCCAAGACACGAGGAACAAGAATTCCCCTCACAATCATAGCTGTAAAGTTTCAACAAAGAAGTTGATTAATTGTAATTACTGCTGCTAGTTCTTCACTTCTTCTCATGTGGGACTGTGGGGAAAACAAGCTTTATATGCATGCATGCAAACCAGGAGAAATAGGATATGATTCTCCAGTTTACACTGTGCATCTGGAATGCATAAGCATTTCCAGACCACATGTGACTGACAGGAGCCATGCAAATTGTCTTTTCCTTGTCAGCCAGCAAATCAGTGCAATGTAGTAAATTTTGATACACAGGGAGGCTAGTAAATCCCATATACTTTAATTGTGAATATATCTGATATCTAAATTCTTATATACTCTCAAAGAGTCAAAGTGTTTTTGCAGCCCATATCAAACACAGTTGTATATGTAGATGCACCATAATATAAAACCCTCCCTCAAATTCTGGACATAGTGAGAGGGATTCATGGCTACCTCCTTCTTATCCCTTATGACCTGAATTCCACTGATATTTACATGGGCAGGGGAGAGCTGACAGATGCCTGGCAGTAGAAGATGTGCTATCCATTTTGTATTTAACCATTAATGATCAGTGGCCCATCCCTCCTGTGATACTGCACTTTAGACCCAGCCTGATTGGCCCACAGAATCTCAGATGAAAGCCGATGAACCTAAGTCTGCCTCTCCAGTGATGTTCATGATCTTTGTCTTGGACAAAGTAACTTCTCCTTGCTTCCTATTTAACTACTAACAAATACAAAAACTCTTCTCAATCTCTAAAAGCAAGCCTGGCAGCCAGAATATATGAGGATTTCCTCCTGATTACAAATGTTGTGGGGTTAAATTGAGAAACATGATTGGAAATCAAACCATGCATAACTGGAAATCAAAGAAAGAAACAGATAATTCTTTCTTCGTTCCCTGGCTCCTTTGACTTTGTTCTGTCTCTTAGTCTTGTTTCCCGTTCTGTTATGATGGCTACCCAGCTTATGACCCTTTGGGTTTATTCTACTGATCATGAACCCCTTAGTCTTGAAAATCAAGTTTAGTTTTCCTGATTTTGGCCACCAGCACTCAAGGAGAGCCCACTTCATTCTTACCCTCCAGTTGTTTCCAGCTCTAGCCACTTTAGGGATAGGTTCTGCATAACTTGCCACAGTATCAGGATCAGGAAAAACTCCAACCATCCCAGGATTGTGTTGATGGCTTTGGAAAGTGGAAACCATCCATTTTATTAATGTAGTGGGATTTGCAGGGTGTCTAAAATATAATCCAGACACAAACATGTTAACATACCTAAGTGAGTGAATTAGTTTGCAGGCAAACAGAACTCTTTCTACTTTGGAAATTTACAAGGTCAAGATAGAAGAATTTACCAGGAGGCAAGAATTGTTGATGGGCATGTAGTTACCCCTATCAAATTTTGTTCTTCCAATCGCATGGATACAATAAAAAAAATTGATTGTAACTTCTGTGACCTGCCTGATAATATATTCATAAGATCCCTGAGTGCCAAATCTTCAAAAGATAAAGAACATTATCTCCTTTTCCAGGACATGGATTCATGACAATAATTTAAACTTTTGACTACTCATTTATTTACAGCCTTTACACTTTTCCTTCAATCTGCATAGATTTCCCAATCTACCTGGTTGAGAACGTGGTATCAACCTTCTATGCAATTGTGCTGCTTTCATTTTTTCCTTGTATTACAGTTTTTGATTTATGGAATTTGATGTTAGATAACTAAGTATATAATTTTTGTGGGTCTTTTATCATTATTAGGATCATATATCTTGCCAATCCTTTTACCCCTTTAAGTGTTTGTGGCTTTGTACTCTTTCTGGAATTAAAATTTCTGTCCCTGCCTCCCTTTTATTTATATTTGTTTGATAAATATTTGCCTTTCTTTTATTTTTAACCTTTCTCTGTCTTTGTTGCCAGTGAGCCCAGGGCACATAGCTTCACCATACTGTTTACAAAGACAGTCAGATGTTGCCATGTCCAACTACTCCAAAAGTTTATTCCATGATCCTCAAGCCTCTAGGATTCTTTAGGACTCAGAAGCATTTTTACCTTTGGGACATTTATCTCCCAAGATACAATGGCTTTTGCCACTGGTTCCACACCCCACTCTACCTGATTAAGACTTTTATATTTCCTAACCTGAAGTCTTGAAGTGAGTAAAGGAAAGGTGGTACTCATGGGAATAATGGCTGGAGAACAGATCTATGATCCCTGAAAAATAAGACCCAGTTTTCTGTCCTTTACAGGAGCCAGGGAATGAAGACAGAATGGCCTGTTTTTTCCTTTAGTATGGCTTTGTAACTTATTTTCTCTTTTTCAGAAAACAAAAAGTATGTGCTTTGGTTTTCAGTGATGTTTCTCAATTTAACTCCACTACATTTTTCAATCAAGAGAAAATCCTTACAGATTTTGGTTGCCAAATCTTGGTTTTTGGTATTGATAATAATTTCTACATTTTTCTATATTGTTGTTATTTAAGTGGGATGCAAAGAAAAATTACCTTATGGTATTCTTGTGAGATTAACTGTAAACAATACATGTGAAATTCGTAGCACCTTCTAACACCAGGTTGGAGTACCACCTATGGCAGTTTTCACAGTATTCCCCATCTTTATTTTTTGCCAAGAAGATGTGCTAGTTGTCAGTCAATTTGTTTGTTGCCTCTTGGTTCCAAATCCACCCTCATCACCTATGTTGTAATAGTAGAGCTGGATTTTTGTTAATATTTATCTTTCGCCAACTGGCATCAAGTTAAGCATTATCAGCAGAGAGTGCTGGAGATACAAAGCAGGAGGAGGGATCTTCTCTGCTGTTTCTAGTGTATTTGTCTACAGTCAAATACAGTAGACACTC